CAATGGAACATTTCTGTGGGCAGATGGATTTCTGTCCACAGAGCACAACTTTCTCACCTCCCCCCTACCACTGCTACCCAAGATGTCCCACAAAGTACCCACAGACCTTCTGGAAAATGGGGTGTTTTTATTTTCTATGGATCAAAGCCACAATGGAAGCCAGATGAATCTTGCCCAGATCATCTGGATACTCCTGTTTACCACAGGGACATCCTATCGTTTCTCCCCCCCCTCTCTGTGTGTGTGATGGGGGAGGCTTGCTAAAGTTTAACTTCTGATACAAGAATATAACTTCCATGTATGAGTAACATGGAGTGTCACATGATTTACTAACAGGGGTGAACATGAACTGGCTCATGAACTAAAGTTTGTGGCAACCTTTGGCCAGTTCGTGGTTCATGAAGCGAAGTTCATGGAAGGTCAGCCAACAAAACACAAACTTTGGACGCATTTGCAGACGGACTGTCTCCACTCAAACAAAATGTGTAGCAAACTTCAAAGCAACCGGTTGGGGGGATTCTCCAGCCTTGGAAACACTGTTGTCAATTTCAAACGAGTCATACAGAATCCCGTCCCCTTGCTTGTATTTGTGACTCTGTGCTTTGAAATCAGTCCTTTTAAGCTTGCAATGCTAGTGGCATTGAGTTCTGCTGGGCACTCTGTGATTGCACTGGTACTGCTGGACACTCTGTATATTGTACTGGTTCAGCTGGGCTTGCAAATATGCCCCCCCCCGCATGGATTGTGATTGAGCTGCCTTTGCCATATTGGCACTGGGTTCTGCTGGGCACTAGTACATTGCACTGATTGTGCTGGGCTTATAACCTCCCCCCCTTTGCTTGGACTATGATTCTATGCTAGAAATCAGGCCTGTTGAGCTGGCATTGCCATAATGGCACTGGGTTCTGCAGGGCACTAGTATATTGCACTGGTTCTCCAGGACTTGCAAAAATCCCCTCCTTCCGTTTATATTGCAGAGGTTCTCTAGGGTTTTGGATTTTTTCTCCTGGGCTTCTATTGCCCTTGATTTTTTGCTGTTTTTTCCCCTCTACTGGAAACAATGGAGGATTGGGGCACCTTCGGGGCGGCATAACTCAGACCCCATAAATCTAATCCTCACCACACTTAGAGAGCAGGTAGAGAAGAGTCAGCTGGAGATCCCTGGCAAGTTTCGTATCTCTAGCTTGCACAGAATCCAGTCTATATACTTCTGAACCACCTGAACCTGCACCTGTCAAAATGACTGTCAGCTATTATTTCCCCAGAAAGCACTTTACTGGGGGCATCTTCTTTGGGGGCCATAACTTGGACCCCATAAATCCAATTCTCACCAAATTTGGAGAGTAGATATAGGAGAGTCTGCTGGAGATCTCCTGTGAGTTTGGTGTCTCTTGGCACACTGGGGGGGGATTCTACCACATCATTAACCTCACAAACTGAACTGGATTGTTTAGCTCTTAAAAGTTTATGATGGTTCATGGTTTGTGAACCAGGCATGCCATGAACCTCAACTTAAACTGAACTGCATTTTCTCAAGTTTGTGTCCATCTCTATTTACTATTGTGTGAATATTCACCATAGGTCTTGACCCCCAAAATGCATGCAATCCCAAATCCAGGTATTAAGTAATTAGGGGAAAGATAGGAACTCATCTCTAAGTTATGTATAACTCAGGGCATTGTGGGAACTGTAGTTTTCATTGCCTCTTTTTTCATTCTCATTTATGGAGTTGAAGTAAAAGAAGAAACTAGGATTCCCTCAAGCTGTATGCATGGTTTCATCCATGGGTCGTTTCATAGAAAAAGAGCTAAGGGAACTCATTAGCATAACTCATTAGCACATACCATACCCCCTGACATCACCGGAAGTGTGTCATAAGGCCACACACACCACCCCCAATGGTCCTGGCCACCGGCCTTGCAGCTCCACTGCTGAGCCCCATGAGGGGCCCGGCGGTGGACCTGCAAGGCCGGCGGGAGTGCGAGGAAGCCCCGCCAAGGCCCTCCCTGGCCCCAGGCAGGCAGGGGTGGGGAGAGGCGGGGAGGAAGCAACTTACCCTCCCTCTTCTCCTGCCTCCTCCTGGCTGAAGTGGGGCGGCCGGAAGCAGGGGGCGGGGCTTTGACATGTGCCCCACCCCCGTACCTCACCCAGGGGAACTGCGATCCCCCGAAATGACCTCTGGTTTCATCCATGACAATGTTTTATGCAGCCAAGTTTAGATCATCCCTAACATTATAATCTTTTAAACTGTAGATTTAAAAATGGGAGTTCAGTAAATAAATACTTGAATAAAAACCAGGGGCTTAGAATCAATTGTCTTATTAGCAACTGTGTAAGCAGAAAAGCTGTGGTGGCTCAAGTGGTTAAGACGCTGAACTGCAGGCTGTGGAAGGTCAGTACTTCAGCAGTTCGAGACCCGGGTGCCGCAAGACGGAATGAGCTCCCGTTTCTAGTTCCAGCTCCTGCCAACCTAGCAGTTCGAAAGCAAGAAATTGCAAGTAGATAAATAGGTACCACTTCATTGGGAAGGTAACAGCGTTCCGTGCGCCTTGGTGTTTAGTCATGCTGGCCACATGACCACGGAAACGTCTTTGGACAGTGCTGGCTCTTCGGCTTTGAAACGGAGATAAGCACCGCAACCCTAGAGTTGGACTCGACTGGCTTTCGAGCAAGGGAACCTTTACCTTTAAGCAGAAAGCAGCATCCATGTTAAAAGAAAGTCCTTAAGAGAAGTATGGCCTATTGTTTCTATGATATGATATGATAGTGTCTTTATGGTGAGGAGTTACAGCACTTTGTATTAAATTTTATAATTAAATTTTATCAGACTTCTATTTTTCTTGTTGTTGCAAGCTCTAATTTGGAAAGAATGGCAATACCTATATTTCATGAGTATATTATGGCTCTGAACTGAGTTGAGAAGTAACAAATTTGGACAACTTGGAAGAAACTTAATGGCATACATTTGTGTGTGTGTCTTGATTACCTCTTGTGTCATCTTACCTCAGGGTAGTTAACATTATGTTATTATTTAAGCAGGTCTACATGAAGCAAATGTTCATTTAGCACCATATGATCTAGTTGGTAATTCATTTTCTTGTCTTTCTATTCTTGTTTTTAATGTGATGGGTCATAAAGCATATCAGTATTTTGTGACTAGGTATTATTTGAGGTGCTCTTTTTGTTGAGGAAGTCATAATAAACTACAAGATCTTTGGAACCTACCCACAGCACAGGGCAATTAATTACATGCGCACAAAGTGGTGTTGGGGTTATATTTCTCAACAAGCAGCCCACCATGTCAAACTATGACTCAAACTGGAAAGGCTTTGAAATTTACTTTTTGATAAGATATGAAGGGATCCAAAGTGGCTTAGGCCCCGGTCACACGAGCAGGAAACCGCGGGGGGGGGGAGCGTGGCAGTGTGCCCCGGGGCAAACTAAGGCACCGTTACCTGACCAGACCTCCCGTGGAGGTACCGTGGAGGTACCGTGGGAAGGGAGAAGTGCCGATCGCAGGACAATCCCGCGCGCAAAAACGAAGCACACGGTTCGGCAAACTGGATAGGTTGTTTTTTTTCTGTACAGCACGACTGCGCATGCTCCGTAGGGTGCTTTCGCGCATCCACGAAGACCTGGGGGAAAAATGTTTTGCAAGGACGGGAACATGGGCGGGCGCCAGATGCCACCGGAAGCGCGATCAGACGCCCGCCCTTGCCCCGCGGTTTCCAGTTACTAGTACCTCTGAGGTACTCGTTTTTTGCTGCGCGGTTTCAGCGGGAAGCCTCGTTTGAGCCACGGGAGTGCTACTCTTCCCAGACGTGCCGGTGAGATCGCGCATGGAAACTCCGCATGTCTTCCGTCTGACTAGGGTGGCTAATGTTCCGTGTGACCGCAGCCTTAAATTATTATCCTCTCCTTCATTTTATCATCACAACAACCCTGTGAAGTAGATTAGGCTGAGAGTGTGTGACTGGCCCAAGATCACACAACAAAGTTTGAGTCCAGTGGTACAAAGGCAACAGAGCAAGTTTTCATGGCAAAGCTGGGATTTGAACTCGGGTCTCTCAGATTCTAGGCCAGCACTCTAACCACTGTATATCATAGTATGATTATCTGAATGAAGGTCACTAGACATACTATGGCTAGGTAGGGTCTATCAAGCAAAGATGTGAGGTTGGTTTATTAACCACAGTTAGTCTTGTGTATGGTGTATGCTGTGTAATGTCTGAATGCAGACATTCTGGCTTAGTCTGGGTTTCATTTTGATTGGCCCCTGGCAACACCCTCCCATGTTACAGACACAAGGCTGTAAAACCAGCATTTGTCAAGGCAAACGAGTAGGGATGGGCTGAACCATTAACCGAACTGCAAACTGATACACTGGTTCATGAACTGAAACTGTTTATGAGCCATATAAAGTTTAAAACCCCTGCTTTCTGCTCCCTGTGGTTTTTTAGGGGAAACAGAAAGCAGGCGTTTCCAAACAGCTGAGCAGAGGGGAGCTCCCTACCACTTAGCTGTTTTTCATGAAGAGCCATGAACTGCATCAAAATTCATGGAAGTTCATGGTGGTTCTTCAGTTCACAAACATTGCTTCATGAACCACAAACTGGCCAAAATCTGTGACAAACTTCATCAGCCAGTTCGTGCCCATCCCTACAAACCAGGATTTCAGTTATCATCTTTGAGCTGAATCATGGCTTCACA